ATTGGTTGATTCTTGCATGTGCCCTGACCAAAGACTGAACCTATAACGTTGGAGAATTTGGACGACGCTCCAACCACCTGAGTTACCCAGCCCTGGCAGGAAAGATTTCTCCAACAAGAGATAAAACAGTGATATTTCTTTTTTTTTTTTAAAGATTTTATTTATTTATCTTTAGAGGAGAAGGGAAGGAGAAAGGGAGAGAAACACCAATGTATGGTTGCGTTTGTACGTCCCCTGCTGGGAACTGGCCTGCAGGGAACCTGCCTGCAACCTGGGCATGTGCCCTGACTGGGAATCGAACCGTGATTATCTGGTTCGCAGGCCCGCGCTCAATCCACTGAGCTACACCAGCCAGGGCCCCACAGTGATATTTCTTTATATTAAAATTAAGAATTTTTGTTCACAAAAAGATACCATAAAGAGGACCAAATGGCAAGCCACAGAATGTGAGAAGATAACTTGTAGTACATACAAAGCAATGGAAAAACGATGCAAGAACCCTGGCTGGGAGGCTCTGTTGAAGCATCATCCCGAATTCCAAAAGGCTGCAGGTTTGATCCCCGGGTTTGAACCGAGGCTTCGTTTGGATCCCCAACTGGGGTGGACACTAATCGATTTCTCTCTCTCTTTCTGCCTCTCTCTGCCCAATCAATAAACATATCCTCAGGTGAGTTTTTTTTTTAAGTCCAAGAGAAAATAAGCAAAGTGCTTTAAACAGGAACTTCATAGTAGAGAACACCTTGGTGGTCAACAAGCATGTGAAGATGCTCAACTTCATTAACAAGCACAGAAGTGCCAACTAGAATACAGTGCAGAACAGCAATGCTCAAGGTCAGGGAGAGAGGAGGTGGAAGTGTACCTTTGTGAGATTCTAATCTTACAAATGATTTCTTCACCAAATGACTAGCCACAGACTAAATGTGAGGGGCTGTACCGATCTGTTCTAGGAAAACTGCCACACCACCTGGTACAGCGGCTAAAGTGGGGCTTTCACTTGCTCACGTCCACCAGCATCTGGTTTTCTCCAAGGGTCAGAAATGTCTATAATCACTACATTCTACCTGGGAAGGGGCATGTCTTCTGAGTCACTATCTTGGCAAGGGTAGGGACAGTTTCCACTTCTCCATTCCTACTCTAATAGCTCTTTTATAAAATTTGTTTTTATCCTCACCCAAGGATATGTTCAGTGAAGAGAGAGAGCATGCGATAAGTTGCCTCTCATACATGCCCTGGCCGGGGAGCGAAGCCACAACCTAGGCATGCGCTCTGACCAGGACGACACTCCAACCAGCTGAGCAGCCTGGCCAGGGCTAATAGCTCTTATTTTAGGAAACCAAGGTGAGAATTTTGCTGGCAGTTGAGTACTATCCGTCTATTTAAATTATGAACTCAGGGACCAGAGAAATACCCCCCAGGTGGGTGTGTGGCCTCTTACACCCACTGTGGGATGGATTTGGGCAGGTCTCTTTTCAGCAACTGGCCCCATTCCAATCCATGTTCTTAATGGAATTGCTGGTCCCCTGGGATCAGCTTCAGCTCAGACCCTGCATCCAAAGCCTTGAAATATCTGAGCACCTCGCTTCCTCCGTGCACAGCTGCGCTGATAATGGCTGTGAGTACCTCTGAGGGAGGAGCAAAATAATCACTGCAATAGAAGCTTTGCAACTTTTTCCTGAAGGAAACTGGCCTCCCCTTCAATCAATGGGCTCTGCAGCAAAATAAAAAAAAAAAAAAGAAAAGAAGAAGAAGAAGAAAGTTAGATCTGGACACCGGGTGAGGGATCATGATTGTCCTTTGCAGTGGTAACATCAGCTTGGGCTCACTCATTCTTGCTCATTTTTTTCCTGCTATGTAAGTCAAGAAATACCCACATTGTCGGTCCACCTGCCTAGAAAGCCCATGGTCTTCTGGCCGTCACACTACATCCCAGCTTGCTGTTTGGCCTTCTTCCTCCCATTACAGGAATTACCTCCAGCTTGGCTGTGGTGACTAAGGAGTGACTAAGCACTGGACCTGGCCTCTGCTCAGAGCTCCTGTCATACCCACTGACTCTGGGAAGCCTGGTTCCACAGCAGCTTCTGCCACCACGGACCTGGGGCTGCAGAGGAGACCTGCCACTGAGCTGGGAATGGGGCAGGGGGGCTCCGACACACTAGTTTCTTATCGCTCTGTTGAAGGATTTACCCCTGGGCCCCCATGAGAAACGCAGCCTCTGGAGGGTCCTCTGCTCATCTGTAATAATAATTTCATCCTGGTGTGCCCACCCCTCGGAGCCTCCTGACCCCTTTCCCAGGGCTTTGCCAAGGAAGGTCCAGTATCTCTACCTCATTTGCTCTAACGCATAGTTTTCCCTAAACTTTAAAGGTCTAATTTGCATTGAAATGTCACATGCTATACATGAGGTCTGTCCAGAAAGTATCCAGCCATGTACTATGAAACAGAGACATTTACTGAGGGAGATACAAGAAACACTGTACACAGGACAACGACGCCTCAGTTCCCTTCAAAGCAGGCACCTTGGGACCTCACACAGTTCTCCCAGTTGCCGTCAGCTACCCTGTCTTATTTTCCCGAACCTCACTGATGGTATGAAATCTCTTCCCTTTCAAAGATGATTTTAGTTTGGGGAAAAGCCAGAAGTCACAGGGCGCCAAATCTGGGCTGTAGGGTGCCTGAGTCACCTGGCTGATTTGATATTTTGCCAAAAAACTGCACAAGACATGATGCATAAGCGGGCGCGTTGTTGTGATGAAGCTGCCCATCACCAGCTGCCCGTAGCTGCGGCCTCCTGACTCACCTGAATAGTTTCCATGGAGGAGTGTTCAAGCTTAATGCAAAATTTGATGCAGATTTGTTGCTCTACTTGCCCAGTCATTTTTTAATGTAACAGCCACACAGTACGCGTGCTCACTCAATAGCATCTACCACTCCCACTGACTAGTACAGTGAAGTCATCACTGTTCACACATGCACATTCCAGTCCACTCTCCTTGGCTGCCAGGTTACATGATGTCAGGCAAACCATTCTCTTTATATTAATAATGCCTGGACTTTTTCCGGACACCCGATTTTATGTTTTCATTGCCTTTAGAGCAAGAGGAAGGGAGAGAGAGAAACATCAGTGCTAGAGAGAAACATCAATTGGCTGCCTCCTGCATGTGGTCAGATCTCGGATCATCCATGCCCGGGGAACAGGACTCAACCCAAGACCTAGGCATAATCCTGTCCAGGAATTGAACCTGCAGCCCTTTAGTTATGGGACGATATTCCAACCAACTGAGCCACATCAGCCAGGGCTAAACTATATTTTTATTGCTGGTCATGCAGATGATAAAAATATAAAGAAAGTCAAGAAAATGATTGTCACAAAATCCAGGACCGTGGTCATCTGTTGGCAGATGAATTAAGATGAGATCTGGAAGAAACATATGGGAGGTCCTGGGTGTTGACAATGTTCTTTTCTCAATCTTTGAGGTGATGACACAAGTGTTTGCTTTGTCAATATTCTTTAAACTGCACATTAGTGTTTCGTGTGTTCTTTTGTACATAAGATAAATCTTGCAACTGGAAAGCAAAAGAACATCACGATGGCCACTGACCATGAGTCTGGAGGCGGGAGGATGCCAGGACCGGCTTCTAGAGATGAGGCAAGAGGGAAAAGCAAAAGAGGGACAGGAAAAACCAAGTCTGAGGTCCCGGAAGCCAAGAACTGAGGACGAAGCTCAGTGAACATGAGAGAAGGGCCAGGAATCGGGACCTTCTCCCCAGGAAGTCGGACAACAGCTGGGAAGTTCTCTGTAGGCCTTTCATCTCACCTCCTCTGTTTGTGCTAACAGAGGGCCACTACCCACTGGGCATATGCAGATGTGGGTGCACATCTGAATCAACCTGGAGATGTTGCCCATCCATCAGCAGAGGAGAGTGAATCCAGTCCTTAGGCAGAGTTGGTGAATGGATGAGAGCTGAGCCCTGGGATGGGCATTCCTGAGGCCAGCTGGAGAGGAGCGGGGCCCCTTTAATCAACACGGAAACGCTTTCTGTGGAAGCCTGGGATGTCAGCAGGTGAAAGAGAACAGGTCGAATTGGGGAATGGGGCAGGAAGGAGCAGGAATGTGAGAGAGCACCTGGGAGGCAAAGGGCAGCAGGGAAGCCAGATTGTGCCTCCATTCCCTGCCCCCTCCTGTGAAAGATGCAGCCACTTTTGTGGGAACCTCTTCACCTTCGCAGAGGGGGTTGATGGCAGCAACATTGTCAGCAGGGAGCTTAACCAAAAGCCAGAGCCCCTAGGGTGGGGTGAGCGTGTGAGACTCCAAGGAGAAGCAGTCTTGACGCTGCTGCAGGCCCCAGTTCTATCGCTGGGGACCCCCGCAGAGCCCAGGCCTTTAGCTGTCTGTCTACTCTCCACTCACTGTCCTGAGAGGTTCCAGGCAATCGGCTCCCACGGCTGATTTTGCATTCCCATCCCCCACCCCTGGAGCCGTAGACTCCATTGGCTGCCGCAGCCAAGTCGATCCTGGGCCCAGACAGATACGCAGTTTCTCTGACTGCTCCTTGGCCTCCTGAGTCAGCAGTGCAGGGCCACCTGCCCTCTCTGAACACAGACCTGGCCCTGGTCTTGCTAAGACAGTGGGGGTTGTGCTGGGGTGAGGGTACAGGTGGTGAGGACCTCCATTCCTCAGGCAGCTGGGGGAGCAAGCTGAGCTAGACACCGCTCATCGCAGGTCAGAAACAGGAGAGTAGAGGTGTCGGAGCTCAGAGATGCAAGGCGAGGGGTCCCGGGCTCTGGGCATGGGGGTAGAGCATAGCCCAGACGCTCCCTCTCACTCCTTCCAATCCCTGCCTCTTGTAGGGACCCCCTCCACCCTCCCTGGGGCCCTGGTCCTTTTCCCTCCCCTCCAAATCCTGAACCCTCTGCAGATTGGTCCCCGGCTTTCTGGGGGCGGGGCCCCAGACCATGACGTCACTGGCGGAGGTGGGGCGGGCAACTAGGGGAGGGGGTGACGGCCCCGGCTCAGCACCTCGGAGAGCTCCCTCCCCGGCCTTGTTTTGCTCCGGAATCACCGCCTGGGGAGGGAGCCAAGGGGCCGGGCACCCGGCGCAGTGGCAGAGGGGATGGCAGTAGAGGGGACGAAGGGCCCCGACGGGCAAAGGGCCCAGCTGTGACCCAGCGGGGTCTGGGGGCCCGGGTACCAGGGGGGGCAAGGGGCAGCTGGCAGCGGCAGCAGTGGCTGCACATCTGGATGGAAACGAGCTTTGTCCAGACCATCATGGCTCTAGGGCTATCCTCAAAGAAAGCGTCTTCCCGCAATGTGGCCGTGGAGCGTAGGAACCTGATTACCGTGTGCAGGTAGGCTCCGTGGGCGGGTGGGGGTGGGGTGGTCGGGGAGAGGCGTGGGGTCGGGCTTTGGAAGCCTGGATGTGCGTGCCAGCGGGAGGATGCAGAGCAGCCTTGGAGAAAAGGGAGGCAGCACAGGGTTAAGGAGCTCGTCCAAAGGCCCAGACCCGGGACGGGGTTTGAAGGTCTGTTCTCTACCCTTCTAGGCCAAGCCAGGCCTCTGGCCAGCCTGGGGCCTGGAAGGTGAGGGGTGTTTAATTGGCACTGCAGCTTCCTGTGAGAACCAGGAAGTGACATTGTGTGTGAGGGGGAGGGGTGGTGATGGCTGGCTCCCCTGCTGGGGGCAGGCAGGCAGTGGGCCTAGGAGAACTGATGGGGCAGGGGCATGATCACCCCCAAGCATCCCTCGCTCCTCCTCAACAGCCTAGCCTGTCTGGAGTGGGGCTTTTCTAGAAGATTTTCCAATGCTCGAACCCTGAAGCAGGAATGGTGTCCTCCTCTGTGATAGTCAACCGGGCGCGAGGGCAAAGACCGTGGGCAAAGACCCTGAACTCATCCAATGCAGGGTGAGAGGAGCTGCCCCTGCCGGGGGAAGGACTGAGGGCCTGGCCAAAGAAACCTGAGTCTCCTTGGTTCCAGGGGAGGAGACTGGGAGGGCAGGCCCATTGGCCCATGAGGGTGCAGGCATTGAAGTGTTGGGAAGATCTCCCTGCTTTCTTGGGGCCCCCCTAAGTTAACATTCCCACCTCAGCCCTGCAGAGACTCACCCCCCCTTCCCTGCTCTGAAGCCAGGAACGGTCATTTGCCCAGCCTCTCTACTTCAGCACCCCTATACTCAACTCTCCCTCTGGGGTCCCCATGCCAGCTGCCTTCTTCAGCTGCGATCTCCCCGCCCTGCCACCTCTGAGGGCGAGGAGCTCCCAGTACGCATCTCAGTTGCCTTCCCTTGCCGGCCTCACCTGCCTGCACACAGCACTCAGCGCCCACCTGATGCCCTGGCTACTGTGTCTTGTAGCTCTGTCCAGGTTCCTGGGCGCACACCCGGCCACACTAGAGTGGTGCCTGTCTCCCACCTCTGTGTCCTGCGTGCCTAGCACAGCGAGGTACACACCAGACCTCTGTAAAAATGCCCGAAATATTACAGAAGGGATGAGTGTTTAGTGCCAGCCGCCTCCACCCTTACACCCCAACCCTGCCAGTGCGGTGTAGAACAAAGATTTCCCCCTTGGGCCCAGATGGTCCTAGGTTCAAGCTCTTACTTCTCCAGTTATTAGCTGTGCAACCTTGGTGAAGTTTCCTCCTCATTCCGGGCCGTGGGTGCCTCATCATCCCCATTACAGATGTACCAGCCGCGCCAAGGAATAGTATGACCTAATCCATGTGGGAGCCTGGCCCAGGGCCCGGCACACAACATAGCCCTGCCCTGATGATGCCCCCCCATCCCTCTCCTCACCCTTGACCTCCTAGGTTTCTCTTCTTTCTCTTGCCAGCCAGGGCAGCTGGGCAGCTTGAGTATATGGGGAAGGAGGGAACTCCCCTTGGCCTAGGCTGCAGAAGCAGAGGTTCTGGTGGACGGAAAGTGAACTCAGAGCTGCAGTGCGAGAGACAGGTTTGGGGGGTCGGGGGCATCACAAAGGCTCAGAAACCCCTCGGGTTTCAGCTGCCTCATCACAGTCACATGGCCCGCCTCCAGCTCCCAGAACAGTTCCCTTTAGCAGGTTGAAGGCTCCCCTGGGCCATGGCCTCCCTGTCTCCATGGTAACTTGCAGCAGTCACTATGCCTCCTAACAGGGAGCACACCATGGGTCTCCCCAGGGCAATGACCAGCTCTGCAGCACCCCTGAGGACAAATGGCAGATGGCTGCCACTCCGAAACCAGCCCCAGGCTCCCACTGTGGTCTGACCCAGATGACCAGAGCAAATCATGGGGGTGGGAACGAGGGGGCTGCATAATGAAGCCTAGATAATGTCCCAACCTTCCTGTTCATGGCCCAGCTGCTCACCAGCCCTGGCCTGTACGAACTCACCTTCTCCCAGGCCTGCTTGGGATCTGAACCAAAATGTACCAAGGCAAGTACTATTCTTCCTGTTTGTGCCTCAGACAACAGTCCTCTGAGAGATTAAATGACTTGTCCAAAGTCACACAGGTGTTACAAGGAAAGAGGACTGAGTCCACCAGGCCGCCCCCACCCAGTGCAGTCCCAACACTGGCCTGGCTCTGATCCCAGGCCGGGCCAACTCTAAGCCCAAAGGCAAGGGAGGGAAGCCCTTGGACTCAGCTATGCCATTGGCCTGAGAGCCAGGGAGGCCAGTGCCCCAGGGCTGGAGCCTGCAGAATGGGGGGCAGAGCAGGCAGGGGCTGCTCAAGTCCTTGGGAATTTGACAGCCACCTGGAGGCCATAAGATGAAGCAGAAAGAGCAAGGACTTTGGAATCAGACATATCTACTTGCATCCTGACAAACTGCAGTGATAGGACTGTGAACAAATCTGTTAACCCCTTATCTGTGAAATGAGGATGCTGGATAATAAGAGGAACTACCTCCCTGGCCTGTTGTAAGGATGGGTGAGATAACGCATGCAAAGTATAGGGCTGGGCACATTATGGGGCTCGATAGGCTTAGGGGAAGAAAGGCAGTTCCAAGCAACCCCCACATCTGCTCTGCCACCCACAATAGGGCGATCATGGGACGCTGGGGGCCTTCCCCCTTCATCTCTGAGAAGCTTGGTGTCGGTGTCGGGACCCCCAAGGCCCCTTCCACAGATCTGCCACCAGTGCTCCCCCCTCCCAGTGTGTCTGTCAGACCCGCACTCCTTACTCCCCCAGCCTGGCTCCACACCGCCTGGCTCTGGGCAGCTGGTGTGTAGGTGGCCCAGCTGGAAAGGAAAAGGGGGGACGGGGCCCCCGGTGTGCTGAGAGCCCACCTGGCCACCATGCATGCCCACACCCCATGTGCTTGGTGCCAACTCACAGCCCTGGCACAGGTGACCCTCCACCCCAGAAGGGACTGCAGCCTGTTCCAGCAAGAGCAGAAGATGGCTCAGGGAATGGGCACAGACCAGCTTCTAACTCCTGCCAAACCCCGACCCACACACAGAGAGGATTCGGCTCAGAGGGTGGACAAGGAGGAGTGGCTCTGGGCACCGGGACTCTGCCTATTGTTTCATGCCCTCTCACACTAGGTTCCTGAAGCTTCCTTTCTCTGGCTGTTACATTTCCTGCCACCCACTTGGTCAGTTTCCCACCTGCCACCCCAGTGCTTCCCTGTCACAGCAGCTCTGTGGTCACTATATTCTCACCTCTTCCCCCCTTCCCCTGCCCGCCCCAGCACCAACCGTGCTCCTCATGACTTCTCTGCCCTTTGTCCCTTTCTTTGCCTGATGCCCTCCCCCTGCCACCATCTCCCTGCCTTCTCACCCGACACCCCACTGCCCCCCCGCCAGGTTCTCTGTGAAAACCCTGCTGGAGAAATACACAGCAGAGCCCATTGACGACTCGTCTGAGGAGTTTGTGAACTTCGCAGCCATCTTGGAGCAGATCCTCAGCCACCGTTTCAAAGGTGAGCCCAGGCTCCTGCCCCCGCTGCGCAGCCCTCCCAACACCCACCTTCAGCTCCCAGCCGCCCCACTCTGATCTACTCTGTGGCTTTCTGACCACCATTGCTGACCCTGGTCCCAATTCTGGGTCACTCATAGAAGCTCACGCAGAGAGCTGGGAAGAGGGGAAGGGGTTTTCTGGACACGCAGTTATACACTGGCGTGCTCTTTGTGTGGGTGCGTGTTTGTGCACACGTTTGGGGTAGGCACTATGTATGTATGCATGTGGCTGCTTACACAGATGCATGTATGTGCCCTGTTACATGGACCCTCTCCCAACTCCCTTGTTTGCTGAGCCCCCTCCCTGCCCTGGCTCAGCCTGTGCCCCAGCAGGTCCTGTGAGCTGGTTCAGCTCAGACGGGCAGCGGGGCTTCTGGGACTATATCCGGCTGGCCTGCAGCAAAGTGCCCAACAACTGCGTGGGCAGCATCGAAAACATGGAGAACATCAGCACAGCCCGAGCCAAGGTGGGTGGCCCGCAATGGGCCGGGGCAGCGGCTCCCCGCTCTGGACACAGTGGAACTGCCTACTTTTTGGTCCTTACCCCTGCCACGGGGACTGGGGAGAAGAGCCACAGGAGGTCCAGACCCAATGGTGTGCACCTGGGTCCCTTTCAGGGCTGCAAGTAAAGGTGAGTGTGCTTTCCAGGGCCGGGCATGGATCCGGGTAGCACTGATGGAGAAGCGCATGTCAGAGTACATCACCACGGCTCTGCGGGACACCCGGACCACCAGGTCAGGCCCCCTCAGTCAGCGCAGGCCACAGGCCCCAGGGTGCATGTTCACTGCCTAAGCACACTCCATCCTTCAGTTCCTGCACAACCGCCCTAGCTGGGCCACAATTCCCAGCATGCACCACGACCATGCTTCCCAGCATGCTTTCCTGTCCTCCAGACTTTCCAGTCCAGACTGTGGTCCTAAAACACACCTTTGGCACCACCATCGCCTCCTCCAAGCCACATTCATTACCTTCCACCACCTCCCAGTACCAGTCTCACGCCCAGCTCTACATTTAGATACATGCCCGGACAAGACTATGCGCCATTTTGCGTTTTGGCCTTGTTCCAGGACCACAGCACGCAGTCCTACGCGCCCCCAGACAGCGGCAGCAGTGTGTGCCTGCTGCCCACGCGCAGGGTCCCCACCTGCAGCTTATCCCCTGCAATGTGTCCGGAGGCAGGATGGCCCCAAGGGGACCAGTGCATTTCTGGACTTTAAGGATCGGGGTGACTCAGTACTGGAGGGAAGGGGCAGTTCAGAGGATTGAGGAGAGTCTAGTCTCAGGAGAAACATTCTAATAGATAGGGACACAGGTGCTGTCCCCAGAGGGCCCCAGGCTGAGGGAGATACAAGACCCACACCTGAGGGATGAGCAAGAAGCTACATACCTCTTTCCTCTGGGAAAGAACTGTAATAAGCCAACAAGACAGCCCTGAGGGATGGGGGCTCCCTGGGAGGGAGGACGCTGCACCATCAGTCCCACCCCCGCTCCGACTCCCTACAGACGTTTCTATGACTCAGGAGCCATCATGCTGAGGGAGGAAGCCACAGTCCTCACCGGGATGCTGATAGGCCTGAGCGCCATAGACTTCAGGTGGGGTCTGGGCGCCGGTGGCGGTGGTGGGGTGTCCCCCCCGCGAATGTCCACACCCCCACCCCCTCATGTCCACCCTAACCCTATGGGTTCTCTGCCCCCAGCTTCTGCCTAAAGGGTGAGGTGCTGGACGGGAAGACCCCCGTGGTCATAGATTACACGCCCTACCTAAAGTTCACCCAGAGGTGAGAAGCCCGACTTTTGCAGTGGGTGCGGGCAGGCCCCCGCCCGGAGGGGCGGGGATGGCGGTGGGGAACTGGCTGGGCGGGCGCCTGGGGCCCCCAGGCCAGGGGGGCCGCGTGGGACGCCGCGCAAGTCGGCCGGTGCCCACTGCTTCCTCCCGCAAGCTACGACTACCTGACTGATGAGGAGGAGCGGCACAGCGCCGAGAGCAGCACGAGCGAGGACAACTCGCCGGAGCACCCGTACTTGCCGCTCGTCACCGACGAGGACAGTTGGTACAGCAAGTGGCACAAGATGGAACAGAAGTTCCGCATCGTCTATGCGCAGAAGGTGTGCGCGGCGCGGCGCGGGTGACAGGCGCTGGGAGGGCAAAGCGGGGCGGGCCAGCCGGCTGCCGGGACCCTCCTCCGCCGCCCAGGCTGAGCCACGGCTCCGCAGGGCTACCTGGAGGAGCTCGTGCGTCTGCGCGAGTCGCAGCTGAAGGACTTGGAGGCGGAGAACCGGAGGCTGCAGCTGCAACTGGAGGAGGCGGCAGCGCAGAACCAGCGCGAGAAGCGGGAGCTGGAAGGCGTGATTCTGGAGCTGCAGGAGCAGCTGTGAGCGCGCCCCCCGCCCCCCGGACTCTAACCTCACCTTTCCTGACACCCACACCCAACTCCACCAACCGCCAGTATCAAACCACTGACCCCATCACCTCTACCCTGACATCCCACCGGTGCCCTTCAATCTGTAACATTATCCTCAACTGACATTCTGGGATCCCTCCAAAACCCACTCCCCACTTCCTCAACCATCCACCGTCAGCTAGAACGGCCATTCAACATTACTCCAGGGACCCCAACATTACTCACGAGGACCTCTGTTACTCAGAGATGATCAGATCAACGTGATTGAATTACTTCTGTCTGAGCTGCTACTTACGCCTACTGACTGCCATCACCCATGGTGACCCCTGACCTCACACCGACTGCCCCTGACCTTTCCCCACCAAACCTTCCTTCAGCCAATGCCCTCTCAGCTTGATGCCCCAAGCGCTGCCCCCCATCACATTTCTGGGGATCTACACTATTCTCTACGACCCCCACACCCTCTTACTCTCTAGCCCCACTGTGAGCACACTAATCCTTGTCACCTCAGACCCCTCGCAGTAGCCGCCACTGACACCCAGAACCTGCCCCACTGATCCTCAACACTGTCCCCCTTTCTGCTATCTCGGTGTCAATCCTAACCCCTCCCCTTACCCCTTGCTGAGACCCTCTTCCCTACTTCCGCTCCCTCCTCTAGCCAGCCTGACCCCACCCTCCCCATCCCAGGACAGGTCTGATCCCTGGTGACCACGCTCCCCTGGCCCAGGGTTCCAAGGAGTTCACCACCCCCCTGGTCAACCAGTGGCCGTCCCTGGGAACGCTCCACAGGGCGGAGGGTGTCAGCGACCCCAAGCGCTACCGGAGGTAAGCACAGCCAGGCCCGGCCTAGGAGGGAGGGTTCCCAGAGAAGAAGGCTCCTCCCAGGGCAGGAGGTCTGGGGGGCGGTGAGCCTCTGCCCGTACACCTGCTATCCGCTCTGCCGCAGACACAGTTTCATGAGCACGGAGCCGCTGTCAGCCGAAGCCAGTCTGAGCTCCGACTCCCAGCGCCTGGGAGAGGGCAAGCAGGACGAGGAGCCCTGGGGCCCCATCGGTGAGCCCCCAATCCAGCACCCAGCCTCCCTGCAGGGAGGGCTCAGGCCAGGCCCTGGACATTGCCCTCAGCCCTTCTAGAGAGGTCGGTACTGCAGTTAAGAGCTTGGTTTGGATGTCAGGCAGACCCTGGTGCAAACCCCAGCTGTGCCTCCTGTGGCTGTGGACCGTGGTCAATTATTCACCTTGCTGGGCACTTCTCACCCGTGAAACGGGGGTGTTGATTAAAGTGATCACCAGTGTTGGCGTGCAGTGAGGGCTTAATGGCTTTTTGGTATCATGACATCCTCGAGGGCTTCAAATTCCCGGGGAGTCTTGGCCTCATTTGCTCATATCTCATGCACTCTGTGAACCACTTGCCTGACCCTTGTTTCCCCCTTTTCTTTGGCTGCCAGGAAGCTCAGAGCCGAATTAGTGGCTCCCTTCACGCGAATGTCCAGGACTTCAACGCATGCACTTTGTGTTGCCCGCCCCGTGGCGTCACCTGGGTTTCCCACCCTAGTTTTCTTGGCGCCTGGACGTCCTGTCTCTTTCCAAAAACCCTACTGTACCAGATGACCCTAGATCTTAAGACAAAGGCGGGCCTTGGACAAGTGACCCTGCCACACTGTTTGTGATTGTCCGTGTGTCTGTCTCCTCACCAGACTGTGAGCTCCTTGGGGGCAAGGACTGTGTCTCGTCCGTTCTCTGTATCCCCAGTGCTTGGAACAGAGCAAGTGCTCACTGATGTGTTTAATAAACGGACAAAAAGAGGATGAACCTCAGGGGGAGACAGAGACATAAACTGACGATTACAATAGTGTTCCCAGCTCTGCAGGCCGGAGCAGGCGCTTGTCAAGGTTAATTGAAATGCAAATGATGCAGAAATGAGGAAAGTCTCCTGGGGGGATGGGACCCGAGGGACTACCCCTCCCCAGCCTGAGCCCACCCCCCACCACACATGCAGACTGGTTGGTCTGGCCTCACCACCCTCTCTCCCCAGGGAAGGACCCCACGCCCTCCATGCTGGGCCTCTGCGGCTCCCTGGCCTCCATCCCCAGCTGCAAGTCCCTGGCGAGCTTCAAATCCAACGAGTGCCTGGTGAGCGACAGCCCCGAGGGCAGCCCCGCACTGAGCCCCAGCTGAAGTGCAGGCCACACTGGCCCCACCTGCCGGGGGCTGCTGCCTGCTGCCTTTCCTCAGAGTGCCCCAGTCCAGGCCACCCTTCCAGAGAAGGCTGCCTGCCCAGCCAGGGGTCTTTTTCTTCTGGTTTTAGCTTCCTGTCTGGGAAGCCAGGGCTGCCAAGGGATGCGGGTCTGGCAGGCAGGTGGGGTCGTCAAAGCCACAGGGAACCCTTGGGGAAGCTTGTTCCATTCTTCTGGTGACCCATGGCTGCCTGGCTGGCTCCCTCCTGGGACTCCCCTTTTCGGTCCCCCACACCCGCCTCGGGAACTTGGGGCCCAGCCTCAGCACCTCCATCTCCCCCGTCTCTCCCTGTACTCATGCCCTGGCGTCACTTCTTCCTCAGCCCCCCGTGTGGGGGCTCCAAGGGAATCGGGCAAATAAAAGACAGAGGACCGAGGGTGGCCTGTCTGTGGGGCTGGGACAGGGCCCTGTCCTGAGGTTAGCAGAACACGGCAGAGCCCGTGCTGGGGCCCATAACCAACCTGATGCCGGGCCATCGAGAATCGGTTTGTGCCCCGTGGGAACAGGTGGGTCAGAACAGTTCAGGAGTGAGTGACTTTTATATGAACTGTCCTGAGTATTAGGTCCACCCAGAACAGGACCAAGACGCATAAGTACCCCTTCATCCTGACATCCTTTGGGAACTTGCTCAACTCCAGGAAGAGAAGAGACCGAACACCCTAGGGTGGGGGGTGGGGTAAGATGGAGGAGGCAAGCCCTGCCAGGGCCTTTTCCCTTCCATCCCACCATCCTAAGCGACTGGTCTGGCCCATGAGGCCAAAGCCTGGCTGTCATCACTGCCTGTGCCCTTGGGGACAGAGGTCTCACCATCTCTTGCCCTGGGCCCAACACTGTAGGGATACTGCCTGCTGAGCACCCCTCCCCAAAGATGGGTCCTCACTGAAGTGGTGGGGGGTCCTCGACACGGTGTCACTGGGCAGAGCAACTCACAAGCCTGCTCCCCTAACCCCACGGCCCCGAAGTCACAGACACTGGAGAGGAGTTCATCATCTTTACACTCGAGGAACAACAGCGACAGGCTGGCTACAACACACACACAGGGAAATGGGCAAAAGGGGGGCAGGTGACAGATTTGGTCTTGAATTTGAAAGGGGAGGGTGATCCCTGGGGCTTGGGATGAGGACCAGCAGGAAGAAGGCCGTCTGAGGAAGGCGTGGGTGTTGCCCAAAGGGGCAAGAAGCTACCCCTGGGGCTCAGTTGAGGAGTAGTAAGTATGAGGCCCCTCTCCAGAGGACAAGGCACTTGGCTCAGCCTCCTCCCGCCCCACCCCGTCCATGGGGGAGACGGGCCCCCACTCCCTGGCTCCTCTCACGGGCCCAGAGGCTGCTCCAGGTTGAGCCTCTGAAAGAAGCTTTTGCCCAGCTCATAGGTGCTGATCATGATGGCACAGGACGGGGCGACCTTGATGATCCTGGGGAGGAAGCCTGCAGCGGGAGGGCAAGGCTGGGGTCAGAGACCGGGGTCCCAGAGGGCCCGACTCCACCAGGGCCGGGGCGCGTGGGCACGCACACACGCACACACACACACACACACACGTGCTCACCTGCGAAGAGCCCCCTAGTGCCAGACTCAGCTCGGATTCTCCGAAGCAGCAGCCAGGTGGAGTCAGTGTGAGGGGGCGACACTGCAGGCATAGGCCCCGTCTAGTAAGACCCCTGCTTGGACCCCGACATGTGCCCACCCCACACCAGCCAAACCCCTCACCTCTCACTGCCTCCACCGCTCCCAGCGCAACCTGGCGTTGAGTCTTTGCCACATCGAAGGGTAGAGTCAGGATGGCCGCCACCTGGTGGGGTGGGGAGAGGGCTCATCTCCATTCCCAGGCCCCCATCCCTTGCGTCCAGCCAGGGTCACCAGGGAGGGCAAGCTTGCTTCCTGACAGGCAGCTGATGTACTACCATGCAAGGAAACCTCTGCCAGCCTCACCCCCAGCCCAAGTAACTCACCGTCCCTGAGATGCCGCCAGCCACAAAGCTGATGCCCACTGACGTCTGGTCCTTTGGCCTGAGCCCACTCAGCCAGCTCTTCATCAGCTCATAGTTGAACCAATACAAGGCTTGTGGGCACAGGGTACTTATTAGACATGGGGAAGGCAGAGGGGTGGGCCCATACTGCCCATCTTCCACAGACCGATACCATGGCAACTGCTCCCTCCCAGGTAAAAGGCTTTCCTGCTACAGGCCAGTTTCTGTAACAGGCTCTCTGTAGGAATTATCTCATGAAAACCTGGGCAAGTACCCTGTTTGCTGAGCCCATTTCACAGATGAGATAGTCAGAGCTCAGAAGTTAAGTGACTTCATAACCAGTGATACCAAAGTTGGGACTTGGCTGTAGACTTCTTGTGCATCATCCAAGGGCTCCCTTAACCGCCCCGCCCCTGCATCCCTGGTGCCCACCTGAGAAGGGTACATCCCGAAGAACGGTGGGGCCCCAGCCCAGCCACAGAGAGCGCCAGCCACCCTGAGCCATGGCGGCTCGGACACAGGCACCCAGCTCCCGGTATGACACATGCTGAGCCTGCAGCTTCGTCCGTACCAGTTCTAGGGGACTGATCACAGTCACGGTGCCCACTGTGGGGAACAGTGGGGAGGGATCGGCTTGCAGGTCCCGCCCCAGGGTCTGGGAGCCCAATACATCTCCCTACCCCCAAGCAAGTGAAGAGAGAAGCTGGGAGCCAGGACTGAGCTCAGGTGGGGTGAGGTGAGGTGAGGTGAGGTGGGGTGCGGGGGGTGGCAGTCAAAAGAAGATCAAGGGCCCAGGGCTGCACTCACAGCGGGCCAGAGCCCCAGCCACCATGGGCGCATAGAAGTCAGAGGTCAGGGCTCGACTGCACAGGAAGGCCTTGAGCTGGTCGTAGGCGGTGAAGTAGATGGCAGTGGCTGGCGCGGTCATCACCCTGGGAGGTGAAAAGATGTCAGCTGGGACTCCCAAACCTCCCAGGCCTCCGCTGCCCCACCCAGCCAGCCAACAGGGGAGCACGACACCAGCCGGGCACAAGAGAAGACCACGTGCAGGCCCGGGGCACTCACAGGGTGGCAGGGAGGCCGCTCCACAGGGTCCTGGTGCCCTCATGTCTCACAATCTTCACAAAGGCATCCTGGCCAAGAGGATATCAGCCCAGGGTAAGAGGGATGAATACGAAAAAGGTCTATGATGGGCTGGCCCAGGCTGGGACCTAGCCTGATGCCCGCGCCTCTGCCCACAGCCCTGGGGCCTATGGGGAGGCGGTAGCCCCGTGGATCTTCACACATGCGATTCCCCATCTGGGTCCAGGGAGAGTGTCCTGTCCACCTCCACAGGGAACGCTTTCCCAAATAGCACTGACTGCCCCCACATGCTTTGCAGTATCTGTTCTCTCCTGGGTCTATTGCCCAAGCAATCTGAATCCCTCAGGAATGCTGCCAGACCCAGCTGAGGGCACAGCCGCTCCTCACCATGGTACCAGTGAAGCGGGTGGGGTCCTGAAACCAGGTGGCACAGCGGGCGCCGTTTGGGCACAAATACAGAGGCTCCAGCACTCCATTGCAGTACAGGAGACACTTCCCTGTAGGTCGGAGAGAGGAGGGCACTGCAGAAGGGGGGGAAGCATGAGGATGCCATGGCTCCGAAAGGCCAGCAGAGGCCAGGGTCCCTAGGCGAACCTTCTCGTGCGGGACAGAGGGCTGGCTGATTGAAACCTGAAAGGCCATCCATCTGTCCTATCCAAGGCTGTGGGGCTCACAGGTGCCGGGGGGGGGGGGGGGGGGGGACACGGGACTCTCCCAAGACACTCACAGGCTCCCTGTGGCCTGGGGCACTTACATTTGGCATAAGAGAGGCTCCAGAATCTGGTAGGAGGCATCAGCTCTAAAATGCAAGGCAGGCCCTCAAGTCAGGAGAGCCCGGCACCTGCCCCGGCAATCTCATCGCTGAGGGTACCACCCTCTACCAGCTCCAGGGTCGGACACTCACCGCCGGCCCCTGACGGGCGTTGGGACTGCAGGCGAACCTTCACCACATCCAGCGGGGTCACTGCGGGAGAGGGCAGGTCTGCAGGCTCCTTTTAAGACTCTTCTCCCGACCCCTCTGATCTGCCCCAGTCCCCAGCTGCCCACCCCACCTCCCAAGGTAGGGAGATGTATTGGGCTCCCATGGTCTTACTGAAGAGAGAGGTGACCACAGCCCCAGCACCCGAGGCCACCATTTGTTGGAGGGGGCTAATGCCCCCAGGATCCTGATCAGCCATCTTGTACCTCCAATTCTGAAAAAACAGAAAACAAAGCTCAGTCACAAACCAGACCCAGCGGCTGGGGAAAACTGAGGCAGGGCTCTTTGACTATTCTGACCCCTCACCCCACTCATTCATTGAGTATGATGAGTTCATGTGATCCTCACAATAGCCTTTTACAGCAGGTACTGTTATCTCCACTTTTCTAAAGAGAGATCTCTCTGTGACTCAGAGAGATGAAACGACCTTCCCAAGGTCACTTTCGAAGTAGTAAGGCAGGAAGCTAAAACAGTCACCGGTTGGTTAACGGGCAATAACGGCTCGCCGCCATTTCCTCATCCGCACCATACAATACAGGCTGACATTTCACCTCCTCGGCGACGGTGCCCGGTTTGGCCCCAGGGGCCCAAAGATCAAAACGCTTTAGCCATCCCTCTGCACCCCGCCCCCCATTCTAACACCCTGCCCTGAAACGGGCACATGCAAGCCCAGAGTCACCGAACGTAGAGAGCGGTGAGATTGAGCAATGCGGGATATGTATAAACAGGTCTGCTGGCGTCTAAGGGTCCGTCCGCCTCTTCGAACCGCGGACTGGGCTCCCAGCCCTTCCCCGCATCCCCTCCGGGGCCGAGATTAGAATAACAATGTCTCTGCTCTCTCTCCCCAAAGTTACATGCCGGGGGACTCGACCGAGAGAGCAAGAAGTAGGTATAGGGAGGCAGGGTCTCTCCTCGCCGCTCTGCTACACTCCCTGCCTCTGCCGCGCGCGAAAGGAGAGCCTGGTGGAGCCGCTTTGATCAACTCAAGGGCCCGCAACTCCGCCCCCCCGGCCCAGCCCTGGCTCGGGATCCCCGAGACCCCCAGACACCCGACTCCGGCTTTAGTTCCTGTCCCGGCCCTCAGCCCCCATCCCGCCCTACCCACCTGGCTCTAGGTCGGTACTCGTGCGGCGCGGGGCCCGGGGCCGGGCGGGCCCACGAGGGCTCCGCCGCCGGTGCGGGGTCCGCGCGCTCCTGCTTGGCTGCAAGGCTGACTAGGAAGGCCCCGGAGCCCGTTCGGCCCCCGGAAAACGCGGCGAGGCCCCGCCCCTCAAGGACCGACCGGTCGCACGCCCGGAGTGACGCCGGCCCCGCCCACTGGAGCACGCCTCCGGGACCCGCTGATCCCCTTTCCCCAAGTGGCTCGGATCTCATCGGGCCCGCGCGCCAAGGTCACAGATCTCCACGTTGCACGTGACTTGTCGGCAGCACTGCATTGACAGCGTATTTTCAGAACTCCCACCCCACTAGTCCCCCCTGCGGCGGAGCGCTGCACCGGGAACCCCAGCGCTTTACTTGCCAGCCTAGCGTGGGTAAATGCACTCTGTCTCCCTTCCTCGGTGGCCTAGTCTGCGTGGTGGCGGCGGGTTGAATTAATTCCAAAGCCACGGAAGGTCAGAGAGGGATGCCTAACATTTACCCACCGGGCTGTGTTTTTACTCCTTCACGGGGACCGCATCGAACAGGAATTATCCCCATTTTACAGATAATCGGATGGGATTCGGCTCCAAAAACTCTTGACAAGTTGTAGCGTGCGCGCGCGCGCGCTGGTAGGCAGTGAGGTTACACGAGTTTCAGTCGGAGCTAGGCAGGCTGGACGGAGAGGAAAGGCTAGCCCGGAAACCGGGAGCCCCGGATTCAACTTGGCTTAAACCTGGGCTCGGTCCCACCTCCGCGTAACCTTGGGCATTTCCAGACCGCTCTGCACCTCGGAATCCTCCGCACAAGAGAGGAATAATAAGGGTGAAGGGGACCGACATTTGTGTGTTGGCTACTCTCACACGGTTCTTCCTTCTAAGCCTCAAAGCTTTTAGAAGTAGGTTATTATTCACCCCATTCAATGGAAGGTGAGGCTGGAAGTTAAGAGCTCGGAACTAGAACCGGCCAGGTAGTTTCCCCTTGCCTCCCCGGGTGACAGCTGAGTTTAAATCCTACGCCGACGTCTCTGATCCGTCCCTTCAGGAAGACACATTTCTCTCCCGGGCAGCCCCGCTGCCGAGACCTCACTACCTGCCTTCTCTTTAAAACTTTTGTGCAGCCACGATATTTGTTTGAACGTTGGGGGGGGGCGGGGGGGGCGGCGACTTGGTGAGAGCCTGCGCCTTTAAGAAGAGTAGGCCGCGATTTTGACGTAACTCGCCTCCCCGCCCCTCACGCCCAGATGCGACTCTTTCCGGATCTCGAAGAGCCTAGCCTTTCTGCGCAAGCTCGTTCAGCACGTGGACGGCAAGGGGCCTATCTTAAGCTTTCCCTGAGAAAAGGCGTTGCGACTTCCCACCGCCTGGAATCCTGAATCAGGGGGCGTGGAGAGTGCGATCTGTGACCGGTGAAGTGGCAGCCGGTCTACAGCGCCAGAGGGAAGGCGCCCTTTCCATTTCCTTCCTAAACCAAGCTGAGGTCTGAAATAACACGAAATCATGTTATAAACTCTTGGTTCAGGCGAAAACCCAGCTTCTGCTAAGGACCTTTACAACCTCAAAGTTATGGTTTACCTGAACAATTTCACAGTCACCAGCCGAGAGATTGCTCTCCCCATCTTACAGAGGAGGAAGCCGAAGTCCTTTCCTGTAATGGTTCAAGTGGGAGGCAGAACCCAGGTTTCTCCCATGCAATTTCCCATATGCAAACAAGAAAAACGGAGACCCCAGAGATCATAGCACCAACGTTAACCAAAAGAAAGTCAGAATTGACGCCTGAGGGAGCCCCTCGGGACTCACCTGTCTGAATCCCGAGGGGTTCCCTCCCGACTCCACTCTCAACCCAGGGCTCCTTATCCCCGCACAGCGACCTGCTCACATGTTCCATCTAGTCAGGCCTCAGGCCCCCGAAACTCCAAGAAATTCAGGGCTGTGCGGGACAGCACCGCTTACCTGCCTCAAGACCAGAGCAGTGGGGGGCAGGGGCCTCGCTCTATTTTCCTGTTGCAACAGCTGTGCCGCCCCTACCAAGTCTCTTAACGCCTCTAATAAGCCTTTGTTTCCCCACTTATAAAATGAGCTGATGAGGATAATAATGCACCCACCTCGCAGGAATTGTGTGAGGGCTTAGTGACTTAATAACTGTAAAGTGCTTAGGCCATTGGAAAGCACTCATGACTATTATTATTATTATTATTGATTGCCTTCCAAAACCTGTGGAACGGAAAGTTCTGGAAAGGGCCTTTAGAGCCACTAGGTTCTGTTTCTGGTCCTATCTGTACCTCCAAATGCAAGCACAGAGAGTTATAACTCCTTACAGCCCTTCCTCCCCAGAGCCAAGTTCACACAGCTGCAAAGTAGCAGAGCCAAGAATCAAACCTGGTGACCTCAGCTTCCCCCATAGCAGAATGTGGTACTTGGATTTCATTTCTGGTTTTCTTTTTGCAATAGGATGCCTTTGAGATTTGTCACTACACCTCAGTTTCCTCATCTGAAAATAAAGATGATATCACCTGTCCTGCATAACTTACAAACTCTTGACTAGGGTCATGTTTGTAAAAACTATGAAAAGAGTCAACAAACGATTCTGTGGCCCCTAGCAGGGACCCGGAGCTAAGCAGATCACCATTCTTGCCTTCCCCCACAGGTAGATGCTTCAAAAGCTTGGAGCATCATTGGTGTGACCAAAGTCCAGGAGGTGGTAGCAGTCTGTGCAGGCAGGAGAGGTTATGTGTGGGCAATGAGAAACCACGAGCCAGTGGAGGCACCTCCCAAGGATGGTGGCGGCGATTGCAGGGTGCATCAGCATCGTTAAGATGCCCACGGAGCTCTAAAGCCCTGGCTAGACTTGCCTGCCCAGAGGAGCAAACCTGGAGCCCTGAGGAGGAGATAGCCATTGTCATGGCTGACCTGGCCACAGTTCCCACTGACTGCACACCCAGGGGCCCTTCCAGAGTCATCACGTGGCCCCATGTGGCCACCACTGCCTTCCTCACCAGATGGGAAAACAAACTCCTTTCAACTGTAAAAGGGGAGAAAATGGTACCAGCCCCAGAGGTTGTAGTGGGAACTGATGGACCAGTCCTTGCCTAGCACTGGGAGAGCATCACAAATAGAAGGTGATTTATGGAGGCTGAATTCTTTCAGAGCAAGCCTTGGGGCAGGGGCAGTGTCCCCTTCAGCTTGCAACCTAGGGCTTAACAAGATATTTTTGGGGGCTGAAGTGAGGCTCAGATCCCTCCTGTGGACCCCATCAACACCTTTGAGTTCACGGCCAGCACTGTCCCCACCTATAGCTGCCTTCCTGGGGGCAGGGCCAAGGGCTTGGGAACCACCAAGCCCAAGAGGAGAAATCCAAACTCCAGGCTTATAGCTAAATGCCAAGTCAGGTCTTTATTTGGACCCTGAGGGCAGGGAGTTGGGGGTGAGAGTTTTAGAAGACTTTACTGGGACAACCGGACCAAATTGAATGAGGCTGGTACAACAGACATTAATTTACCAATGTTAAACTTATCACCGCACTGTGGTTTTGTAGGAAAACGTCCTTGTTCTTAGGAAATGCACACTGAAGTGTTTAGGGGTGAATGTCTGCAACTTAGTCTCAAGTGGTTCAGAAAAAAAAAAGATAATGCCAATGTAGCAAAATGTGAACTGGTGAGTCAAGGTGAAGGGTATATGGGTGCTCATTGCACCATTCTTGCACTTTTTCTGAAGTCTTTAAAGTTTTCAGAACAACCAGTTGGTGGGGGAAGGGATTTCCCCCTTTGAAATACGTATGTACAGGGTGTGGCAAAAGTAGATGGATGGTTGTTCATATGGCAAATACCGTAATAATCAAGAAGTGATAATACAAGAATAAGCTGTTCCCGGTACTCACAACTATAAACCTACTTTTGCTCCAGGCTGTATTACTTACAGAATCGGAAGAGCAACAAAATTGTCTTTTTTGGAGGTTAAAAAAATTACTAAATGTAATAGCCAGGATCAACCTATCTCAGGAAAGGCTTTCCTACTTTTGTTTGCCCATGGTCTGAGAAGGTGGGCTGGGGAGTTTCTGGACACCTAGCTTTTCTGCACCCAAAGCTTCCCCGGGGCACCCTGGGTGTGGTCTGAGAAGGTGGCTCTCAGAGGGGGAAGGGTCCTGTTAAGATTTCTCAGAACTGACACCCCACCCCACTGCAGGCTGACTCCCGGAGCTCTGGGGACGGCTCTCTCCGGCTCTGCTTGGGGAGTGTAGACTAATCCACCCGCGCGGAAGGCAGTGCTTGGCTGTAACTACCAAAATTCCAACTGCCCAAACGCTGTGACCCAGCCAGGCCTTTCTCAGAATTCCTCCACCCGTCGCTTACACTCGTGCGAAATGACCTTTATTGTAGCCGTTCGTAACAGCAGAATGCTATGGAGGGGGAACTGCATGACAGTCCTTCATATGACAGAATACCACGCAGCCTTGAAGGGGTTGCAGATCTCCACATCGCGATGTAAAACAACCTCGAAGGTAAAGTTAATTCAAAAAGCAGAGCGCTGGAGGAAGTGCCAAGCAGCTGTTCGCGACTGGAGCGCCAGCGCCCCCTAGGGGCAAATTTGGAAATTAATGATGTGGTTTGTAGTGGTTAAAAGATCGGGACCCCTGGCATCTGACGGATGGCAGGACAGCGATGCTAAATATCCTATAACGTGTAGGACAGTTGGACACATCAAGGAATTGTCCCGTACACCGCTCAACTTTCCCCTGTATTTCTGGGCAATTACATAGGTGAGAAACCTGTTCATGACCTGACCTGGAAGCTAGCTCTATTCCACCCACATCCCTCTGTTTTGAATGGTTTTAAAATACATTGAATTTCCCAGGAATAAAACTACCATGAAATCCTAGGGAAGATTTATCGTTGTCTCCATTAAAACTTTATTGTCCAGCGGTGGGCTAGACGGAGGAGGGCAAAGGGGGAAAATGTGTGACAACTGTTATAGAATAAATAGGAATAAAAATAAATAGATGAGCCCTGGCTGGTGTGGCTCAGTGGATTGAGCACTGAACTGGGAACCATAAGGGTTGCAGGTTCGATTCCCAGTCGGGGCACATGCCTGGGTTGCAGGCTGGGTCCTCAGTTG